GGTCCGGGCTGGGGATTCGAACCCGCCACCTTAGGTGTACGTGGCTGGCCTTTTAGCCGGTTGAGCTATAGGCGCCGAGCCAAGACTCTGTTTCAAAAAGAGAAAATAAAAATGGCCAGGCATGGTGTCTCATGCCTATAATCCTAGCACCCTGGGAGGCCAAAGAGCTGCACAAATGATCAATATCATGATTGCAAAAGAGTACATTAGTACAGATCTTACAGACATTAAAAGACTGCTAGGATACCAAACATTTGAAATCACTCAACCTACCTCTTCAAAGGAGTATTTTTCTACAGTATGAAGAGCATCTTGTGTCTCATTCCACCCTCCAATAGAATAGATGCAGTCATTGAGTGCAGCCACCCCAAGATAGGCTCTTCTGGTTCCCATTGGAGGAAGTGGAGACCAACGCTTAGAAAGTGGATCATAAACTTCAAAAGAACGAAGCTCTATTCCTTCATTGCTGATGCCCCCAATTACATAAATTAAACCTGGAAATGGAATATTTTTGTTCAGATTCTATAGAAAATAAGATACAAATAAGGATGAAGAATAATAGTTGCAATCTATGTTTGCTAGGCTGGTGCTATTTTAGATCTAGGGGTTATAATATTATCTAAAAGAAAATCAACTTCTATCTAGTTTCTCACATCTTACATTTAAACATGTTGCAAAAACTTAGGGGAATTAATTTAGAGCAAACTTTCAAAGAACTTGATGATACTGTAACAAAATAATCTGTCAGTCAAGGATTTTCTATCTCATTGTCTGCTTAGCAATATAAAGTTCCAGATCCACTCCTAGATGAAAGCAACAACAACAAAAAAAATTAAGACCCATGCATTTCTTTTTTCCCTTAAAACACGTCAGGTGGCTTGGCGCCTGTGGCTCAAGCGGCTAAGGCGCCAGCCACATACACCTATGGTGGCAGGTTTGAATCCAGCCTGGGCCCGCCAAACAACAATGATGGCTGCAACCAAAAAATAGCCAGGCATTGTGGTGGGCACCTATGGTCCCAGCTACTTGGGAGGCTGAGGCAGGAGACTTGCTCAAGCCCAGGAGTTGGAAGTTGCTGTGAGCTGTGATGCCACAGTACTCTACCCATGGGGACACCTTGAGGCTCTGTCTCCAAAAAAAAAAAAGAATATAACTTATAGAAAGTTCCTTATTAAATCTGATTTGAAACTAATGGTTCTGGGAACCTACAATTATTTTTGAGTCCCTAGTTTTTGCCCCATGTTTCAAAGCAAAGAGTTGTAAAGAATGATATTTTAAGAAACACAGGCTAAATGTTAGTAAACATGGGTTTTAGTTCCAGTTGTACCAGGAACAAAATTACAAGGAAAAAACAACTCACAACTTTTCTGATCTTCAGCTTCCTCACCTATAAATTAAAGTGTTTGTTGTCTCAGTTGAGACAACTGAGCCCAGCCCGGGCCTGCTAAACAACAATGACAACTGCAACCAAAAAATAGCCAGGCTTTGTGGTGGGGGCCTATAGTCTCAGCTACTTGGGAGGCTAAGGCAAGAAAATTGCCTAAGCCCAAGAGTTTGAAGTTGCTGTGAGCTGTGACATAATAGCACTCTACTGAGGATGACATAGTGAGACTCTGTCTCAAAAAAAAAAAATTAAGTGCTTGAAATAGCTAATTTCCAAAATGCCTCTCCATCTATGATTTTACGTAGGAAAATAAAATAATAAATATAAAACAACTAAAAAACACTATACTATTTTTTTCCTTTTTCTTTTCTTTTTTTTTTTTTTGAGACAGAGTCTCACTATATTGCCCTCAGTAGAGCACAGTGGTGTCACAGCTCACAGCAACCTCAAACTCTTGGGCTTAGGCAATTCTCTTGCTTCAGCCTTCCAAGTAGCTGGGACTACAGGCACTTACCACAATATGTGGCTATTTTTGTTGTTGTTGCTGCAGTTGTCATTGTTGTTTAGCTGGCCCAGGCCAGGTTTGAACCCGCCAGCCTCGATGTATGTGGCTAGGGCCGTAACCACTGTGCTACAGGCACCAAGCCTAAAAAACACTATATTATTAAACAATAAAATATAGTCTGTATCATGTAATTTGAACATTTAAATGCTAGTGCAAATTGGAGAAGGTAACCACAAAGCAGAAGGAACTTGAGCTGGAAACACAGCAGGCTAAGCTATCATACAACAATGGGCAGGCTGCTTCCTATTCCTGTGCATACTCTCCAATCCTGGACAGAGAATCAGTTTCCATTTAAAACAGTTTACCACCTACCTCTAAATGTATCGTAGACAAATGTTTGTATATCACTTTATTTATTTACTTATTATTATTATTTTTTAATTGAGACAGAGTCTCATTTTGTTGCCCTGGGTAGAGTGACATCACAGCTCATAGCAACCTCAAATTCTTGGGCTTAAGCAATTCTCTTGCCTCAGCCTCTCAACTTCAGGCGCCTGTCACAACACCTGGCTACTTTTGTTGTCTTTTTTTTTTTTTTTTTTTTGAGATAGAGCCTCAAGCTATCCCCCTGGGTAGAGTGCCATAGCATCAGAGCTCACAGCAACCCATAGGCGCCCACCGGAAACGCCCGGCTATTTTTTGGTAGCAGCTGTGATTGTTGTTTTGCAGACCCAGGCTGAATTCGAACCCGCCACCTTAGGTGTATGTGGCTGGTGCCTTAACCACTTGAGCCACAGGTGCCAAGCCTTGTTGTCGGTTTTTTAGTGGCCCTGGTGCATGTGGCCGGGACCCTACCCACTAAGCAACAGGTACTACCTATGTACCACTTTAATATGCAACATTTTTCAAATTGGTTATACTTTTCTTTTTTTGGAAAGACAAGAGTCTTACTCTGTCACCTCGGCTGGAGTGCAGTGGCATGATCATACAGCCCTGAACTTTGCTACATCTATGTGGGCCAGGCATGGTGGCTCACACCTATAATCCCAGAACCTTGAGAGAACAAAGAAAAAGGACTGCTTGAAGCCAGAAGTTTAAGACCACCTGGAGCTACATAGTGAGACTTCATTTATATAAGAATTTTTTTTTTTTTTTTTTGAGACAGAGCCTCAAGCTGTCCCCCTGGGGTAGAGTGCCCTGGCTTTACAGCTCACAGCAACCTCCAACTCCTGGGCTCAAGCAAGTCTCCTGCCTCCACCTCCCAAGTAGCTGGGACCACAGGCGCCCGCCACAACGCCCG